ATATAGCTTACTTAACAAATGATCTCATTTCTGTGCCCTATGTCTGTGAATAGTCTGTGTTAGATTTGCTGAATGGGGAGACAGATTTTTTTTGCATTTTTATGCAGATAAAACTATAGTTTGTAAATGAGCAAGAGAAATATCTTGACTCTTTAGATCAAGGAGGACTTTCATTGGAGAAAGTGAGAAAGCTGCTAGGAGATTTCCAGGTTTTGATTGACAAGGCAAAGTGATGATCTCTTTCCTTCTACACCCACCCAAATCCAAACTAAAAAACTCAGCACAACAGAACACTAATTTAAAAAGTAGATGCACAAAAATATGGTTAGGATTTTTTTCTCTTTCTCCCCTAACATCAATATTACAAGAAAGGAGTGCAACGAGTGCCAGGCGATTGTTCATTAAATATGGAATAAAAAGATCAAGTCTTTAACAAATACCTGATTAATATCTGAGTAACATAAACATTCTCACAGAGAGGAGGAAGGCTGAGCTGAAAAAATCTGTCAATTCATATGAATAACTGTGTGGTATTATTTAATTGCTCTTTTTTTTTTCTTTGTAATAAGTTTAATTGCATTTTTTGTAGTGAAAACCGTTATTTTACTTCATTCTCATGTAAAATAGTTGCTATGATGTTCATGTTATACTCTGTAAAACCTATGATTTTTTTTCAATCATTAGCATTACTTTTCCTGTGTAACTATGCCTTTCATAATAAAATAACTTCCTTAGCTCCTTGTAGATGAAGCCGATGTAAAATCTCACCCACACAGATCAGATTCTAGACCACAAATGTCATGGACTTTTCAAATTCTTCATGATAGCTTGACAAGTCAGAAATTTTCTGCAGAAAGTAGCAGAAATCTGAGCTTTACAATTATCACTCTTAGGAAAGTGATTAACAATATTACTTATTTACTTGCCTATGTAAGCCTAATTTGGTCTCAGGGCTATTACCCTCATTCTCAGAGTTGTGTTATGTCATAGCTTATTGCAGTTTGTGTTCCCTGATGGTGTTGTTTATCACCTTTGGTGCCTGAGCTGAAGCGATAATTTTGTTGTACTTTGTATTAATGGCTTCTGAGGAAATAGAACCACTGGTTGTGAGCCTAATTCTGTCTGCCTGCTTGGCACTGCAACGCCTCTGAACCTCGGGAGCCATCTGGTGGGAACTATTAACAATAACACCTACATTATCTCACATCTTCCGCTTCTCTAGGCTAATTACAGTGGCATTTGGGAATTTTGAAAAATTTGAATACTCTTGGGATGTTGAAACCAGCATGGTCCTATTGCTAGGAGATGAATGTGGTTCTCTTGTTTAGAGGTGGGGTTTTCATTTTATCTTTTGGTTTGGTTTGGTTTTAATTGCCCTTTTTTTTCCCCTTTTTACTTTATTTCAATTAATAAACTGTTCTTATCTCAACTCATGTGTTTTGCAATTCTCTTTTACATCCTGCTGGGGAGTGGGAAGTGAGTGAGCAGCCACATGGGAGTTAGTTGCCATATCGATTTAAACCACAACACAAGGTTAGAGAGCCTGGTAAGTCTGGATAGTTTTTCATATAGAAATACCTGGATAAAGATGTAAGGGCTCCTAGACAGGTAAATACTGAAAGTCTAGTCTCCAGGTCAGGTCTCTCCAGAGGAGAGAGAGAGAATCTTCTCCTTTGCCCTGCTAGCTTCACTGCTTTTGATAGAACCTGGGATAATGGTTGGCTTTTTGGGCTGTGAGTGCACGTTGCTGGCTCATCTCCACCAGCACTCCAAGTTCTTCCCTTCAAGGCTGCTCTCAATCCTCTCATACCCTTGTTGATACAGGGAGTTGCTGTAGCCCAGGTGCAGCACCTCACATTTGGTCTTGTTGAACCTCATGAGGTTCCCACGAGGCCACTTCTAAGCTTTTCCAGGTCCTGGATTGCATCTCATCCCTTGCACATGTCAACTGTAACACTCAGCTTGATGTCATCTGCAAATTTTCTGAGTGTGGACTGGTTGCCACGATGTCATTGATTGAGACAGTCCTGTTGCTGCCGCTACAAGGGCTAGGAGCGTGGTGTCTCAGGTTGAGCACGGCTCGGTGGCAGCACCCCTACCACACGGACCAAAGCATATGCAGACACCAATGTGGTGGACGGTGAAATGGCGTTTATTAACGGCTAATTGGAGTAATTTATAACAGGGGGTAACGGTAGAGTAACGGCAAAAGGGGAGGGGTTTCGCCTGAGCGTGACATCGCGTTATCTTCGTGACATCTCGTGATATCTTGAGCCCACGTTTCCCCCCTCTTTTATGACCAGCTGAAACATAGGAAATGCTAAGGTTTAAACTGACAAGTGGGAAACGTGTAACCGGTAAAGTGCACTGAACTTGAACAATGTAACAAACTTGTAACAAATGAAAAGTTAAACAATGTAACACAACTGTAACAAAACTTGTGACTGTAAACGTTTAACAAACCAAAAGCTAATTATCTCCAACTGGTTTTCCTAAAAAACAACATGAACTTGTTTAAAATGTAAGGGCAATCAGTCATGGAGGGCTGAACCATGACTTTTGGGTATCTTCGCAGGACCTCTGCAGTTTTTTTGTTGACACCATATTACCGACCTATTCTCCCAGAGTCTATGGCCTGTTTGATCTTAAAAACTAGAGAGATTTGGAGAGCTCATGTCCGGACTCATGCTCTCTCCAAAACGCCTTTTGAGCCTTTGGCGCCGGAAAAGCTCTGGGTTGATTGGTATTCCATTCAAGTAGAGCCAGAACTTGGCCAGAGTTAAAACTCTACTTGACGGATACCACTTAGGACAAGATGCTGAGCTTTTCCCCCCCAGTCTTTCTCTGTGTCGGCCTCTCACTGAGTTTTTCCATGACACCGGTGTGGTGTGCCATCGGGCTGCTTGATGTTTCGCCACAGCCTTCTGGGAGCGGGGTGTATGGGCTGCGGGGGTGTCTGAGGATCCAGTCCTGCAAGACAAACTTTACAGATTTTGTTATTCTTTGCCCTGAAGGTCTGGTTTTATTGACTTAAGTGGGCACCGTTTAATTTTACTGTCTTTCTTTATGGCTGCGTACCCTCACCCCGTGAGTATCAGCCTCCAACCTGTCTCCCACTGTCCTAGCTCATTCTTGATCATTACTTACGGGCCTTCCTCTAGCACCCGGGTGGCCCAGTGCCTCTGGGCAGGACTTTTGCCTTCATCTCCCCTTGGGAACTGATTTAAAGCTAGCAGGACGGTTGCTAGAATTTGTGCTTGATCTTTCAGCGGGATGGAATTGGTGAAGCCTTCTGTTTTTGCTAGCACCTCCAGTTTACTTTTTAGGGTCTGGTTAGCTCGTTCGACGATGGCCTGTCCAGTGCTGTTATATGGGATGCCATGAAATTATTCCCCACCTTGCTGCGAACGCCTTTACCGATTTCGAGATGAAGCTTGGATCATTATCTGTTTTAATTTGCCTTGGCATGCCTAGCCATGCCATGGCTGTTAACCAGTGTTGGACAGTCACTCTGGAATCAGTTCTTTGGTGTTGTGTGGCCACGATTATCCCGCTGTAAGTATCCACTGTCACTGCAAGCCATGCCTGGAGCCTCAACAGTTGGCATAATGTAAAATCCGTTTGCCATATGTCGGCAGCCTTGAGGCCCCTGGGATTGACTCCGCTGGACCACTATGGCAGTAGGGACATGCGGCAATGACATGCCTTGCATCAGTGACGGAGATCCCGCATTTCCTTGTGAGTGCTTTGGCCCTGACATGCAGGGATTCATGCAGCTGGTGGGCTTCTCTTAGGGCCCACAGCCCTTTTGCAGCGGCACCTGCTTTGTTGTTGCCAACCTGAAAGGCTCCCTTGACCGGACTGTGGCTATTGATGTGGATGACAGAAATGGTGCCCCTTTGTGAATAGAGTGCTTCTTCCAGCATTGCCGCCACTGTGGACACTGCCACGCCGGGTCCGGCCATGGCTAGACAGAGTCTGGTCATGAATATGGAGTCGGTCACGATGTTGAGATGTTCCTCCAGAAACAGTCCACATGCCAGTGCCACAGCGGTTGGCTCGAGTTGTTGGACCGACAGCACAGGATCCGTTGTTTCAATACACCACCACTGCTCTCCTGCCTGCCGTACTACCGCTGCCATGAGGTTAATGACGATGCATCGGTAAAGACCGTGGGTACTTCTCGTGGTCAGTCAATCACTTTAGCTGGCAGGTCAATGTCAACGATCGCAAGCCACTGCATCCATGGGGGTTTTGCTGTGTATCCCCATCTCCTCCGAACCCAGCGAGGGCCATGGCCAGGTATTCTGATATTGTTGGTGACTGTGCAGGAAGCTGTTTGTGGAAGGGTAGGTATACTCTGGTGGGTTCAGTGGCCAAATGTCTCAGAGCGAGCTTTCTGCCTTTCATGATGAGGCTACCAAGGTATTCAGCTCCTGGGGAAAAGACACGCAATGATTTTCCCAGGACCACCCGTTGTATTGGTTGGGCTTTATCAGGGGGTCCCTGGGCTAGCACACCTACTCCCCCTTGGAGTCCCACCTGGTGAGCGTGCTCGTTGACATCTGATGTTCGATGAAGTCGAGCGAGCTCACTGCCTCTGGCGTCAGTACAATGTTTCCCCTTTTCCAGTCACTTGGGACTTCACCTGACTGGCATGAATTTTCAAGTGTCATGGAGAGTAGCTTGTCAACTGCATCAGCCAATTCCCTCAGGAGTCTGGCATTCATCTCGTCAGGTTCCACGGACTTCTGGACATTCAGGTTCCTTAGGTGGTCAAAAGCCCAATCTTTATAGTGGGAGGAGCTTTGCTTCCCTAGTCCCTGCCTTGAGAGGTGTGGGAAGAGAGGTTTGTCAGTGGGGACTGAGGCAGCACAATTGGACTTCAGCCTTCTCCTAGTTTGTTATTATCAGTTTCCCAGCTGTGTTTCTTTCTTTGACCTCCCTTTTTTGGCTGAAATACGTATAGAAACTTTTCTTACTGTTCTTTCCCTTGCCAGATTCAGCTCCAGCCAAGCCTTGGCCTTTCTGACCCCATCCCTACACAACCAGGCAGCATTCCTATTGCTGTATTTTAATAAAATCTGGGACAATAGTAGAATACTTTATCTTGAAACTTTTGGACCACTAGTTCAAATATACCAGGTAAGCAGATAAAGAGGTCCAAATGTACTAGGTAAACAGATAAAGAGGTCCAAATGTACTAGGTTGGGAAATAAAGAGGTCCAGATGTACTGGGTAAATAGATAAAAACTTAATGACTAGCTTATTCCATTTTGATAGGCAATAAAACTAAACTGACAAAAGTTTCAATCAATTTTCTTGTCATACAGGGATCAGTTATATGTAGCAATAGAGCATTTATTAATATTATATTATTAATAGAATATATATTGTGTAATATATATTATATTATTAATATATGTTATTAATATTTTTGGCATTTATTAGGTTGCACAAAGTAATGTAATACCTACATCATTGTCATCTGATACACATGGAGTTGAAAAACAAAGGAAAATACCTAATACCTTGTCAAGTTCTATGTATTTCACCTTGCATGTTTTTTACAACTCATCTAATGGAAGGCAAAATTAACACAAACCAAAAGTCTGCAAAAATAAAAAGCTTCCTCAGAATGACACAATCTAATAAAGATGTTCCTTCCTGTAATATAAAGCATATTTGGGATTTTTCTTTTGCTTTCAATAAAATATTCAAATATTCCATCAGGACTTTACTTGAAAAGAAAAAAGAGACTGAAGCTTTGAACCATGGTGTGAATTTTTCACAAAACAGATGTGGAATTACCTGGAAAAGCAGGATCAGCACAGCTTGAAGGAAATCTCCATCCCACTAGCTGCCTAGCAAAGCACATGAGAGGTAAGAGAGGTGTCCATCATTGCGTCCCCTGGGAGGAAAGAATTGAAAGAAACATCATCTGCTCTTGTGATAGGTAGGTGACAGTTGTTTTTCTCCTAGCCTGGATAGATTTTGAATGTGTTCCCATTCAGTATCACAATTTCTTAAATAACAGGAAGGAAAAGACTGTCTGTTGCTCAAAGCAAGAGCTTGCCTGAGAAGTTATGAGAGAGTTTTAACAGTGCTGTGTTTTGTTCAGCTTGTCTTGCAATCAACGTTCAGTCTCCTACCACAAACAAGTATCCTGGTCACCAAGACTCTGAGCTCTTGCAGAGCTGAGACATAAACTTCAAAGAATGTCAGGATTTTAGAGGAGCTGAAGTTTTAGTTAGAAATAAGCTTTATTGGAGTTAATAAAAATAAATGGGTAGGCCTTGACGAGGTTAAGAGTTAGTAGTTAACTAATAATTGATTGCTTTCAACATAATGTTTGGTTAGCTGGGTTTATAATGAAGAATATAGAAACTGATAAATAGCTTTTAGGAACATAAGACAATTGTAGGCCTCCTCTGTTCTGAAACCAATTAAAAACAGGAATGGGAGTTCTACCAAGGGTTCATTTGTCATATTTGCATTGAAAAGGTAGAAAGGTCAGAACGAGGAAGACTTCATTTACTTCCTCATTTTGGGACCCCTCCCCATGAAAGGGACCACTGACCCATTTCAAGGAACAAACTACAGATGCTTAATAGCTTTTGAACTAATTACCATACGAAGCAGGAAATGGGATGTACCGAAGGTATGAATATACATTTGTATTTTGGGTATTCAATACTTGTATAGATAAAAGGACTCTGTAATCACCTGTAAATTGCGGTGTGTATTTGGGAGCTATCCCAGACCGCTGTCCAGAATCGCAATAAACATACACTTTCTAACTTTAAACTGTTAGAGCCTCTTTGTCCGTCACAGTTGGATATCGGTACTAGATCAATATGCATATTTTTAATAAATCAGAGTCTTTTGTCTTTTCCACTGCAGCAACAGCACCAGCTATTCCTTGCTGACAGCAAGGACAAAATGGAGGGGCACTGTTGTAGGTCAATGACTGTAGGGCCTCAGTTTTTCCTTATGGCTGTAGTTTTTAGGAGAAGCTCAATGCTAACTCTGGGAAATCATCCCCATTGAAATCAGCATGTGAATCCCCAGCATAGCATCTTTCATGGAAAAAAAGTTGAATAGAGATCATGTCATTTGTTTAAGTGGAACTCTGAGTGCTTTTTTGTATGACATAAAAAAATACAACAATATTCTCAGGTATGTGTGCTGCATTGATCTTACTGTTCCTGCTGGGTAGCAGTCTATATTTACTTGAATTATCTTAGATAGAAATATGAGGGCATAAAAGCTCTCTGACTAAAGATCTCACAGATGACTACTGCAAACTCACAGTGTAGCTCTAAAATAGAAAGCAGCATGTGACTCTTCACTCTGGCTTCCCAGGCTCCTGCTAGCAGCAAGCAGCAGTTGCAGATAAAAATAGGAGGTTGTGAGCAACTAGGATCTTTAGTTAAATATAGAAGTCACTCTCCATGACAGTAAGGAGTCCAGGACAACAATGAAGTCTCTCCGATTCATTAGCGCCGAAGCATTCGTGTCAAATGCAGAGTTTGCCAGGAAGAGTCTCGGGGCTGTTACTCATGATCTTTTTCCGCTTCTTTTCAAAGCTAGCTATTTACTGGAGCAAGGGGAAGTGATTCACGACTTGGTAGAGAACTGGCCACTTTTTGATTTTAACATGGGAAAACTTTTGGGAGCTACTCTGGACTATGAGGAAGACCTAAGCCATAGAACATGCTCAGTGTGCTTGGAAAGCTGTCTGACAGGGCTGAGAGACTATGTGCTGAATCAGTCTTCTCCCTACATGAAAAAGTTGAAAGTGGTCGACCTGACGGGTATAAAAGATGTTGAAGTTCAATTTTGTAAGTGCAAGAAGACAATGGGCAGGTGGGCCAGGACACAGCTGCTCTCTAAGCTTTGTTCAGACCTCCTGGTTTACCTGCAACAAGCACAGTGCAGTCCAGGTACCTTTGAAGTCAGTATCAATGTACTAATTGACTTGTTTGTTACAGAGCGGAACTATGAGCTGGTTGTGCAGGCCCTGTTGAAGAAATGCAGCTGTCCACTGAAAATCTGCTGTGTGGCATTCAGATCTGACAACCTGACCCTGCAGAAATTCTTCTATATCATAAAGCTCACTGATCCCTCCTTGTTGCTCAAACTGGAAATAGTTCATAATGTTCACTTGGAAATGGAACACTTGGAAATGCTCTTCAACTGTATCCACTTCCCTCTGTTGATGTCCTTGACCTTGCCAGCACGAACATTTAATGTGCGGAGGTTCACAGCTATGGACGAACAGATGCTTACTAAAATTGGCGAGAAGATGGGTGAAATGACACAGCTTACTGAGCTGAGTATGTCATTTTCTATACTCACTGGAAGAATACAGAAACTTCTCAGGTAATGTGGTCATCCTGCTTTCAGTCACACTGTAAAAAAGAGCACTTGGTGCCACCATCAAGCTAGGAATCTCTAAGAGTAAGGGAAGTGAGTATATGTTGGGATGTATGTGGGAGGGGGCAGCAGGAAGCTAGGAAAGATTATGTATTGGGGAGAATCAGCAGCCAAAGTATACCTAATACACTTTGAAAAACTGACTATTTTGATTAATCTTCCAGAGTCCATCTGGTGAGAATATATTTTTAGCTACCACAGAAGAGACGGGTATACCCAGACATTTTTTATTTGAACTTATGTATTAATCAGCTTGCATCGGCCTTTGGTGCAAGCCCTGAGCTGTATTCCAAGTATTTTCTAGAGTATCTGGTGAATGTTTGTCCTCTAAAGAACAGTCAGTAATATGCTTTTCCACAGATACTGTATTTTAAGGAGGGCAGGGGAATAGCTGATTTTCATTTGAGGCTTTGATTTGAATTATTCGTTCTGTCTCTTGATGTCAAGACAAGAGTTTTTTGTATTGCAAATTAAGCTGATATGTGAATATTCATTATGAATTCCAGTGGAAAACTGGCAATTTGCAAAAAGCTAGCCAACTACCAGTGAGTGATACTTATATTGGAACAGGTAATAAGTTAATTGTAAGCTTTTCAGAGCATCTAAAAAAAGGCAGATAAAAGTTTCATACAGACAAATGATCTTGGTCTAAAATTCTTCCCATACAAGAAACCATTTTATTTAAAATTTGTGAGTAGCATACTTCATATATTGACTGGTACAATTGAAATGAATTGCAAGTTTTTAAGCTTGATCCAGCTGAACCCTGTGGGAGAAGTATGTAGTAAGTATGAAAGTGATCTCTTGCTTTTCATTTGTCAGAACTATTTTATATTTAACATAAATATCTGAATAAAATCTCAGTTACACTTCTTCCGTCCTTCTTCATCAAAATGTCTCTTTGCAACTCCAGAACACTACAATGTCTAAACCTCTTGGGCATTAAAAAAATGTAGCAGAAAAAAATCAGCTAGAAACGAAAGCAGATATCCTGTGAGAATGTTTATTTCGTATTGGAATTAATCCTTCCTTAATGGAAATTATCTAAATCTCTGGAATTATTGCAGCTTTCTACAAGCAGCTACCAATGCTCTTATGGTAGTAGTGATCTGCTGTTAAAGTCAGCAAGTGACAGACACTTTACAATATATAACTGGTTAAAAAATAGATACATAGAATGTTAGTAAATTAATCCCCATTAAAATAGTGCAGTGGATTCATGCATAGAAAGAGGTAATTAATGGAACTAATTTCAGGAAGAAAATATACTTGCTATTGTTGTCACATGCTTCTGTTTTCAAGAGAGATTTGAAAAAATTATTTGGTAGATGGCTGCATTCATAATGTGGCTAGATGCATGAAATTTTGTAAATGTAGCTTTTATTTTGTACTATAAAACATTTTTCTCTTTAATTTTGCAGCCCACTAAAAACTCCACTGAAGATGCTGGATGTTTCTAACTGCTCCTTGAACCATGCTGATATGGCCTTTTTAGCCAATAGCTTCCATGCCAATCACTTGGAAGCCCTGGACCTGAGTGGTCACGATATACCTGAGCTTTACCCATCAACATTCTTTAAGCTCCTCAGCCATTGCTCTTCAGTGCTCAGGAGTCTTACTCTGGAGGACTGTAATATCCAAGACACTCATGTCAACATGTTGATTTTAGGTTTAAGCCCTTGTCAGAAACTACAGGAGCTTAAGTTTATTGGAAACCCACTGTCATCCCAAGCACTTAAACACCTTTTCACATTTCTCTGTGAATTGCCAATGCTGAAAAATGTGGAGTTCCCCGTTCCAAAGGATTGCTACCCTATTGGCATCACCTACCCCATTGATGATGCCAGTGTTTGCAGATTTGATCACCAAAAATATGAAAGGGTAGCAGAGGAGCTTAATCTCATTTTACTCCAAGCAAATAGAGATGATGTGAAGGCTTCAACGCCACTCTTTGGGAGTTATGATGCAGCTGTTCAGGAGACAAACAATGAACTGGGAGCTTACTTGATCAAGTCCTTCAAAGAGACTTTAGAGAAGTTCACTTCTTCATTTAACAAAATTAATTAAATTTGTAAAATTGTGAAGTAGTGATGAGATGATCTGCCAAATCAGAACTTAAATTACTCTTTTCTACATCTTCACCTCCAATCATCAGCTGTGAATTTCCTTTAATTTTTCAGCTGAATTTACTATTATTTGAATAGCCTCTAATCACCTGAGGTACTGTAACTTATGCTATATCTGTTGCATACACCTTACACAAGCACTACTTCCCACACATAGAGAGTACTTTAATTGGGGCCTGAGTGGTAAACAAGTGCTACTCAGCTTCTCACCTGTAAAATTAAGAGACTTGGTTAGCTTCTAGGTAATTAAAAAAATAAATATAATAATATAAAAAATATATATAATAAATATACTTTATTGGTTTATGAAAACTTGTTCAATCAGGACTGAAAGTGAATGTTTGTAGCAGGAGCTGAAGGTGTCACTGTAGTATTGAGGATAATCATTAAGATAACCAGGACAGTTTATTTGAAATAATACTGAGCCTCATCATCTGAGGGTAAGGAAAACACTTTCTTCATTTAGGCAGTTCTGATTTGTCTAGCTTTCTTTTTATCTACAGTAGGAATATGCAAGCAACTCTTAACCTAATTTATTTTAAAAATCCCCCAAACAAACCAAAAATTAATGGACCGAGTACTAAGCAGAACTTAGAGGTTCCACAGCATGCATTCAAATGATTTTTTTGATGTCAGCTCACATTCTAATGTGTTTTATTGATGGAACATATGATGGTAAATTGAAAGTGAATGGTCATGACCTGTTTATGTTTACAGAGCACTTGAGAAATAAAAAGGTAATCTAAATTGCTAAACTAAGGAGTTGTGAATAGTAAATGACAGAATTGGGTCCCATATGACCTTACTTGTACTTTGACAGAATTCCCCATGCTCCTTTATCCTTACCTCTACTGTACCTTTTCTTCCCTCCAACCCCACCATTCTTTCCATCTCAGACTCGACCCATGACTTCTCAGTCAGATTTAAGTTACTTGAATTTTGCTATGCCAAAAATCTACTTCTTTGGGATAAGTAGCGGTGTTTTTGTTGGGAAAGGACACTGTACTATAGCTGTAAAAGTGTAGTGATTCTTCCTCCCTCCAATCTACAGGTTGCACCTGGAGGTGAAGGGTGGCCGTTTTGGAACATGCTGTGGTACAACAGTCAGTCCTTGCCTTTTTTGGTTCTCTCAAAATAGACAGCTCTTATTTCAGAATAATTACATGCCTTATAAAGTCTGCTGTCTGTGTAGCTCTCCTTCTGGTTTCTTCTTGCCGTGCTTCACCCCTTTACTTTATTTCCTCCTTTTTCTGAATCCACAAACTCCTGCCTTTCTTCCATTTTTTATATGGAAGAAATCTTCATGTCTATATGCTGGCTCCTGGGCCAGCAGAAGCATGTAGCTTTTGTTTTGGTGCAAAGTGACAATCATCACTATGACTATTTTAGAGCTTTAGCTCTGAGATATGGCACCTTCTTCTCTTTAGTTTCTTTCTTAATTATGGTTGCTATCATTGGTTTTAAATACAGGTCAAGTTTTAACATTTTGATGTTTGCCTGACTTACTGCAACAAGGGTTCCTGCATGTCTTCTGCCCCAGTAGTGTGATTTTGGTTTGGACCTGCTCTTTCTTCTTCCATGTGTGTGGGACTTGGAACACAGCTATTAGAGAGGAAGGATTAATGCTACTATGACCTAGCTATATAAAGTTACCTTACACTTTGCAAGTACAGACAGATACTGATTGAGTCCTCTTTGGTGCTCCCTTTTCTTCCTTATGGGACTATTGTCAGCTTCACTGGGTTCAGACTGGAGTGGATCCAAATTAATTTATACTGAATATCCAGAAAGCTGTCTGAAATCTTAACTACACACCACCTTGAGAGGAGACAGTCTTCTAAGCTCCCAGACAGAGACAGGGCAGGAGTTACCACTACACTGAAACCATACAGCTGTCAATGGAAAGAAGATGTCTGATGTGTTGTGAATGGAGATGAATTCAATTCCCTCCTACCACATCTTCTCATTATGTTCCTTTAGGTGTCTGAAGAAGAATACTCAGAGTCACTTCAGGTTTATTTGTGAAAGACACAGAAGAGATGCAGATGTAAAAAAACCCTGAAAATCAAAACCACTCCCATCATATTCAAATGAATGTTCTAAACACAAAATGCAATGATGAATATCACAGCTGAAGGCTGAATTTTTAGTTCCAATGAAAAGAGACTGCTATTTTTTTATTTTATTCACCATGCTTTATTCAGTACCACGTTTTATTTACTATATTGTACTTTTTTATTCATTAGCATATTTTAATTTCATTTGCTGGGACATGTTTTGTTCAGCAGCAATCGCTTGCAAATCTTTCTCTTTTGCAGGGTAAGGATTGCCAGAAGAGCTTTCTGCTGCTGAAATTGCTGAACTCTCCTATTCAGTAACTGTACTGAATTCAGTGAAATACCTAGTACATAGGAAATAAGTATTCTCCTTTGACAAACTTCATGAAACTGAAGAACAGGCAAAAAATCTTTATAAATGACCTTTGCTACATCTGATCTCTTCATAATTTAAGTCATATTATGTTTTGACCACACATAGAGTAGTTGAAAGAAGCAACAGGAAGAAAGATGACAGATTTTTACTGTGGAAGAAGCAGCACAGCAGCTCTGTACTTGGAGACAGCTATCTCAACAACATAAAAGCCTATCAATAGAAAAAAGGCAAATAAACACTACTGTTGCAGGGAAAGTTGTCATACATGAAACTGAAGCAAGTTTCCCAATAGAATCCTACACCTTTTAAATTAATATTTTTAAACTCAAAAGTTATGGACTACAGGTCAATTCTTCTGAACACATATGACCTTTGCTTACAAAGCTCCTCTTTCTCTCCTTAAAATATGCATCAGTCAACAGCAGACCAGGACTGTATGAACTACCTTGCAAAGAAACAAGGGAAGGAACATAGTACCTAATGCTCTCCACATACTGCCTTCAAGTAAAAGTACCCTGTGTGAAAATTATTGTGTCTAGGATAATAATTTATGATGTAAATTTAACACTTGTTTCAATGAATGTCTGGCCAGAGATTCAAAGCTGCCTCTGGTTAATCCTAAAAGCACCAACTGTAATCATTGTTTTGTAGAGATTTTTTAAATAGTCTTATACCTAGACAAAGAAGCTTTACTTTTGAAGAAAACACAATGACTGTGATTGATGATCGCATTATTTTTTAAAGTCATCCAGCATAACCTTCTCTATCATTCTTTCAGATACTAAGGTTAAAGATATTTTGCTGTCTAAGGTACAGCTGCATTGATATTTCTTAATTTTACCCAAGAAATTTTTTACAAAATAATCCTAAAGATAGTTTTAATCTCAAGTAGAATGTACAAACTTAATGCAGCATAGGATCACAAGATTTTAAGGGAAACACAACTTGTCTGTCCAGAAAAAAAGAAAAATTATTTCTCTCTGTGGAAGATGATCAACTCTCCACCTTGTTCTCAACTTTAAAGTATTTTAAATTCCAGAACTGAGAATATTCAAACATCTAAAACACATATCTGTTCTGGTAATTCTTAATGAAGATGGAGGTAATTTTTTTTCCTTCTCAGTCTTTCAGTCAGAAGTGATTTTTTTTTGTTCCTATCGTCTCTGCTGTGAACTGTGGGAAATCATGCACTGAGCTGTTGCTTTTTCCTTTGCCATGCTTTTCTTCACGGGGCTGAAGGTTTCTCTTCGTCTCAGAGCCACCATACAACATTGGTTTTACTTGTTAGAGTTTTATTTGTTTGCTGTAGAAGGTTTTACAAACTGAAAGACAACCTTTGCTATGCTTCTTATTAGTTTACTTTTTATTTTGAGCACCAGCTAACATGCTCCTAATGAAGCAGGACTATAAGCTTCATTAATGCTTAATAAAAGTTGTATTTCTTTCTGTTTGTTTGTTTGTTTTCTGCATTTTTGATTGGTTTGATATTTTGGCTCTCTTGCCCATTGCAAACTTGGAATGGAAGTGAGCTCTGCCATTCCCTTGGCTCCATTTCTCCAGAGGATCTTCCTTGTGCAAAAGAGCCTGTGCTTGGAAGAACTCCCAGCTTGCTGCACAGTTCACTGCTGCTGCTTCCCAGCTCTCCCTGTGTCCAATACAAGTGCAGGGCAAGCATTAGAGTGGTTTTCATGCATCATTGCCCAAGATACACAGTGGCAGAGCACATTTTGGAAGGCAAAATATGTGCTTGTCATTGATGCATGACCTACTTTGGAAAATGCCTCATGGCACCACACATTTCTTCTTTTGTGTGTGGTTGGTATCAATCCACACTCATTCTTTGAAGTTCTCATTCTCTTTCATAAACCAACATAAGGTCCTGCTTCCACTTGGGATACTTTGTGTATTTCAAAGTGCTTTTGGCTGCAGCATCTCAGATGCATAGCAGCCAGGTCAGGACGGACTTGTTCGTCTGGCAGGTGAATTCCCTCCTTAGGTCATGCAGCTCACCCAGGGACAGAGAGCAAGTGATGATTTCTGGCTCTGAGACTTCCGCTGGGTGCAAGGGTCCTGCCACATCCTCATCAGTCATGATGCAGACTGATTTGCTCTTTGATTTCTTCTTCTCAACGGGGACAACTGCTACTGGTTCAGGCTGTTCTGGTTCGGTGACTATCTGTGTGGAGATGCTGATGATGCTTTTCGTTTCTTCCTCCTCTGTGACAGTCTGTGTAGACATGGATGCTGTTTTGCAGCATTTGGTTCTTTCCTCCTCTGGCATTCTGTGCAGACATGGACACTGTTGCTTTGCTTCTCCTTTCCTCTTCCTCAATAAAACGCTGAACCACACCATGTAGAGCCTTGTTTCTAAGCATGTTGCAGGCTGTGCAGGGAAGACAAAGAGGAACCAACAACAACACTATGCTGTCCATGGTATCCAGAGAGAACTCAACATTTTCAAAAACTGCTGTGTCAAGCCTGAAAGACTGGAAAAAGGAATTCTTTACACCTCCCTCCAGGGGCTGGGTGTGATTGCTGAGGCCCCAGACACAGCAGCCTAGATTAGGACAAGCAAACAAAATTGAGTACGTATTCCAAATGATGTCCATTGCCTAGGAGGTTATCATGCAATAGACATAACAGACCAATAAAACAATTTTTACACCATACCCTGGTTTATACAGGAGCATTATAATCAGCAGAAAAATCCCCAAAATTAGAGAAAAATATAGAGAGCTAGGTATAGGGCCCAAATAAGCAAGTTGAACATCACAGGGAATAGGTGGCTTCTACAATACAAAATTGTAACTCTAAATTTCCTCAGTACCTCTGGCCTCACGTTGGGCAACAAAATTTTTGTTCGGGCTTGAAAGTAAAACCAATGAGAGACTCCAAGGCAGAAATACAATTTATTAGGAAAAGGGGGAGAACCCCAAATACATGCAAAAATACAAAAGAAAACACCACTCCTCGCCCCTAGGCAGAGCATCTCACAATAGGCTAATTTCATTCTGAGTCATGCGGTGGGTCCTTGAATACCCGTTGAACAGAAATGGCTCCCAGAGGGAGTCATCTCTGAGTCATGTGGTAAGACATTGATGGGCCCGTTAACAGGAGGTAAGGAAAAAACAATGCCCCCCCTGGTTTCAGCAGCTCTTGAGGATGGGAACAGAATACATCTTTATATTGTGACCTAGGACAATACAAGATGCATGTTTTTGCATTTGAAGGAAGTTTGTATGGATTAGAAAAGTATCCTTATACCAGAGGCACAAGAGTACTCTCATACCCTTTTTTAATCATCTTCAAACCAAGCAATTCTCACAATAACCTACCGCATGAATGACTTGCAAGTGAGTTGAAGAAACACGGCAAAGATTAGTGTTCAACTGCATAGAATCGTTTAGGGACACCATACATTTATATACCTTTATCTTTTAAATCAGGAAGCGTGGATGGACCGATCTTTCCCCATTAGTTGACTACAGAACCAGCAGTCCCTTGCAGGAGGGTGTTTGGGCTCAAGATGACACTGGCAACTAAGAGCATGGCTA